TTAGATGCCCTCCGACGGAGGGCCGCCCCATTGTTCCTTGTTGGCGGGCATTAATCGGAATTGCATGTCCTTTTTGCTGACCGCGCTCGTGCCCATAAATAATTCTGCTCTCCTTTATTACATTTTATTCATTGGGAGCACATACAATCAACTGCAACCATCTCGCAAGGTAAAACGCGTAAAAATCACTCTGAAAATCTTTTCGTGGTGCAAAAGCTCGACATGCACTAAAAAAATGCACGCTACAGTAACCCCACATCGGACCGTCTCAGGATACTTGTCAACCGCGGAGCCTCCTTCTCTTTTCCTCCCCTCCTTTCTTCTTTTCCTTCCCTCCTTCTCTCTTCCCTCTTCCTTCTCCTTATCGATACGATGAGAAAATAGCTCTGGGCCCTCGCCCATTCGGACAGTTCTGGGAGTTTCTTTTTTTTCAAGTGTTTTTCGTCCGTGTTTTTGTTGTTTTTCGTATTCTTTTCTTTGCATTGGATGATATCCACTACTGGGAGATGCGATAAAGCGATTTGTGAGCCAGGGGTTGCACAGAGACCGCAGGGCGTGACTGTAAGGGAGCGATTTTGTTTTGTGTTCTTGAGGACTCTTCTTGCTTTTTCCTTCTTTGGGGAATTACTTATCAGCTACTGTTTCATAATTGAACAGTAACTATCTATTTATGACACTATTATCGCGGGAGCTGTCTTTGAAGAGGGGGTCAGCCTAAAGATAAACGGATGTCGAAATGTTGCCCCTCGAGCGATGATTTTGTCCCGCAAATCGGAGACAAAGGAGATAAAGGGAGGTAGGAAAGAGGTGTGAAGGGGTGGATGGCCTTTCCAAGGGATCGTACTTAAAGACTGGGCGTCCTTCCTTGTACAAGTGATCTGGCCCTCATTCTCATATATTATCCCATAATCGAAGTTCTACAGTAAGTGACGAATGCGCTGTAGCCCTCATAAGTGGCAGCTCCGACGCCTCCGTAGTTGTCGCGCCCACTGAAACTGGTTGGCAGCTCGTAGAGCTGACACGAGGGGAAAATGAACAATATGCTCCATTGGAAGAATCAATTATACTGGCGGAAAAAACATTCGCTAAGCAAAATTTTACTATGATTTACTAGAAAAGTAACACCCGAGACGGGAAAAACGAACCTCCGCGATCACCTTCGGACATCCTAGAGATTGTACGACGAGGGCTACTTATCGGAGCGGCCTCTGTGGGAGATCGTTGAGCATACGACCTCTCCGTTTCCTGGAAATCATTCGCTTACTGGGTATTTATGTTTGATCCAACTCAAGTTGATTTTGTGTTGGGATTATTTGTACTCTTGTAGGGTTTATCATTTAAAGACATATTCCGCAAGTGCAAGTCTTGGTGTACTGCGTAATATAAGGCGAAAAGCGCAGTACGCTCCAAACAAAGCTGACCTTACAAGCCCAAACCCCCTTGCCACGCACTTTGGAGTGATGGAAATGGCACATCCAATGTAGCTGCACATCTGCGTTGCATACACACGCAAAGGACCCCACCACTGTAGTAATAGCGAAATAAACAGATTAACACACCTGTATAAGCGTTTCAAATTGTTCCTTATAGTTGTTCTTGAGCTCGTCAAGGGTTCCAGAAGCCACAACCTAGAACAGATACCTTCCTTGTAATAGAATGCAAAAACGATGCTGGCTTGGGCCTCGTTCATACTTTGCGGCAGCGTCCGCCAGCGTTTCGAGCGTCCGGCAGCGTCAGCGACAGGGAAAGTATAGATATCGATCTAGCGTCTGCCAGCGTGCACCAGCGTCTACCAGCGTCCGGGAGAGGAAGAGTACGAAGCGCCACACAGAGGAACAGTACGAAGCGCCACTCTCCGGTACGTTGGCAGACGCTAGTGCACGCTGGCAGACGCTGGATCGATATCTATACTTCCCAGGCCCCTGAGATGCTGGTAGACGCTGGCGAATGCTGGGAGACGCTGGTGCACGCTGGTAGACGCTAGATCGATATCTATACTTTCTCCGTAGCTGACGCTGCCGGACGCTCGAAACGCTACTGGACGCTGGTGGACGCCACCGCAAAGTATGAACGCACTCCAGGAGACCCACATCTCCATCCTTCATTAGTAAAACTTTGGTAGCATGATGAAGGAACTGGATTTGGTGCGTAACCAGAACAACGACCTTGTTTCGTAAATGGCCACAAATGCACCTGAAAAGACCCCATACAATTCCGAGAGGATTTCACCACGGAAACAGGGAAACAGATGCTTTTCTAATCCAAATACTACAGCTACCAACACCTACTTCTCGAAAAGGAAACGTCCAACTGTGGCATCAACTGCGGACAATGGGTCATCAAGAAGAAAGACATCTGCATCCGAATAAATTGCACGGGCCAAAGCGATACGAGCTTTCTGACCACCTGAACAAATGAAACTAGTTCGCATGTCTAATCGGCAAAAAAAACAATATTAACGTGCCTGAGAGAGAGGTTCCACGATCGCCAACAAGCACGGCATCTCCGCGGGGAAACTGGGCGATATCATTACTGAGAGCTGAGAGTTCAAGAGCTCGGCGATACTTCTCCTGAAAACTCAAAATGAGATGACAAAAACATGACTCACTGGGTACACATGCTGGAAAATTCAGACCTGGTCAAAGTCATAGCCAAAAAGAATGTTATCTCGGATTGTCCCGCTGAAAATCCAAACATCTTGACTGCAGTATGCAGTTTTTCCCCATATAGTGAGCTTTCCAGAGACTCTGCGTGATTCGCAAAGTAATGAGGACAACAATGACGACTGAAACACATTGAATCACTTCTTCAGCAGTATTTCATATGTTAAGACACCTGCCTACTCGGGTAATTGCGAGAGCAAATCTCAATAAAAAATGGCTGAATGAGATGATAGTGATTATGAGGACGAGTTATCCAGGCTCTCCGGTCAAACTGCACTATTCACTGAGCGAATGCACCAGGCAAGAAAAACTCCGTTTACATTCGTTCTGCCACACTTTGCACGTTATGCTGGTGAGAAAAATGCTCGCGTACGACCACGCCTCAAAAATACTCCTAGTTGGAGCTCATTTCAAAAGCAGAAGCCCGATTTCATCCATCTTTTTTCACAGGGGTGAAGAAAAAAGGAAGGAGGACAAAGGAAAACCGTGAAGTTTTCCTGACTTTTCCCACAGTTCCACCTTTCATATTTATGGGTACGACCCCTACCGCACACACGATTATGACCATTGCTGATAATTCCTCATGAAGAGGCTAACTTGCTTACTACCTACCACTTTCGGCTACCTTGGCTACTTTAGTGAAGAAGACGCAGCCCATACAGAAGACGTGGATACGAGTACCAGGGCGGAAGATACCCAAGATGTTCCTCGATAAGCAGGAGCAGGCTCTCGTCCATCACCTTCATGTACACCAAAATATGAAGCCATCTCCAGTCGCAGCCTGACTGGAGAAGGCCTATGGAATTCACGTCACCTCCAAACAGCTGCGAAACTTCTTGTATGGAGTCACCCATGGACAGCTACCTGGAGACCGGCACCCTTGATCTCCACAAGTATGTAGTACCACGACGGACCCGCTCACTGGCCACGGCAACGATCAACTTTCATTTTTAAAGGTATCCTGGTGGAGCGGTTGTTCCGCTTATATGTCTCTCCATTTCGAATGATGAGAGTGAGGGTGGTAGTGAGAAAGGGCCGATGCATTTTCCTTCACTTTTTTGTTATTCGCCATCTTGGCACTAGTATTTGACCCACACGTTGTCCGCCCTTGAATGAGGGCGTGCCCTCAACGTAAGCCTCAGAGACTTGGACTTTGCGCAGGCAGGATGAACAGACAGTCAGGGTCATCCAACGCGCTATGGAGAGTCGACGCTTGGAAACTTCCGCTGTACGCAAGTGAAGGAGAATCCGGATTCTGAACTCTGCCAGTGGTCGAATCGAGGGATGATGTTGTGTTTACCACTCCAGGGACATAAGAAGACGAGAACGAGCGCCTGACAACTCTGACTTCCAAATGGAAACATCACTGGCATGCGCTCGAGGATTTCGACAATTAACGGGACGATAGGTAATTAGTTCACTCAATCGAACTGTAACATCACTAACATCACTGAATCGAAACTGTAACATTCAAAAGTAACCCATTCTACAAAAGAATAATATGAAAGATACACTGCAATGCAAAATTTCCCACCACCCACCTTTCCCGATCCAACAGGTCCAACAACAGCAATTAGGTCACCCGGATTTGCTTCGAAACTAAGATTCCGCACGGCATAGACATCTTCGCCGTCTTCCTGAAAAACAAGCCAGCCGCTTCATAAGCGAAAGACGACTAAACTGAGTAAAAAGACCTCAGCTGTTTGCCATGCTGTCGTGAGAGACTGAGCAACAATGCTTCCACCCTCTTCGTCAAGCTTTTTCTTCGTGTCGCTGATCGCATTCACATTGTTCATCTCATGATCAAGAAGAGTCTGAAGGAATTCGAAGTGAAGGTAGATTATGTTTCTAATGACTAATGGTGTATTTCCTGCTGCTATACAATACCTTTTTTTCGTCTTTCGCTTCAGAATCGGCAATACCATCTATCGAGTCATCCTTGCCAGTCACCGAACCATAACGGTAGGAAGAAAACTCTTCCAACTCCAGAAAACTCTGAAAATCAACAGTAATTCGTTCGAGTATGTTCTTCTAGGAAAAACTTTACCGTACCTGAATACGCCCGACCGATACTCGAACTTCAAAAAAGAATTGCAGTGAAAATGGCAGAAACAAGGTGACTGGTAGACGACACGCGTTGTAAAGCGCCGTCTAAGATAAAGCATATAAAGATTACAAGTGTAATCATAAGAGGCGAAATTTGTGACAACAAATCAGAAAATAGCGCTATTCCAGTTCAAAGCAAACTTTACGCTCTCCTCCGAAGACGGTCCTTGGAGTGTGCGAGACGAACGGACAACAGCTGCAGTAGCGAGCCACCTTCTGCGCTCAGAAGTGCACGAAAACGGGGCTGTGGTACCACAGTGACGGCCCCATACTCCGCCTCGCTATCCTTAGACTGCAGCACTTGCGCTGATATGAGTCCCGCAGCAAAGCACATACTCAGAGGTGGGGAACAATTAGGACTGAGAGGGCGTAAACACGAGACGCGCTTGGCTACGTTTAGGCGCGTGGCTGGCCGTGCTGCAGCGCCGGCGGAGTGTGGATAGGAGAACCAGGTATTACCACCCCAGCCGCGCTCCGATGCAATTTAGACCGGAAAAGTGGCGCACTGCTGCAGCTGCAGACCCATTCACCCCATAGACTGGATGCACGGTCCACAGAGGTGAGTCTACAAT